GGCTTGGAGGGCTGCATTTGGCTCCCAGGCCTGAGGTTCCCCACCCCTGTGCTAGACCTTCCTTTGATGCCCTTCCAAAGTATGGCAGGTAGGCAACAAGGTCAGGACCTTTTCTGTGGTGGCATTAAGATGCCAGGGCGCTCTGCCTAAGGTGAAGCTCCACACCTTTTGCTTGCTTTACGCTGAGCAGCCAAGACTCCAACCCCTCCCCTTACCAGGCAGTTTAAGGCATTGGCTCTTAAAAAGGATTCTGATTTTTTAATCAATTTTTACTTTGAAGGATTGATGTGATTTTGAATATATTGTTTTGATTTTGGTCTATTTGCTATAGTTAATAAAACAAACCAACTTTGATTTTTGATTTTTTTACAGAATGGCTGGATAGAATTTATCTTTAAAAAACCCTACTCTGAATTCTACCACCTCTCAATATTTATGTGGTGCCACTTTTCTCACGTCCATCGTATCGCTCCTAAAAACATACAATTTCCTCTGTCCCTTAGTCCTTGCACTCAACTCAAGCTATATGTAACCGCATGTGCTTACATTCATCCTCTCTTACTCTGGTCCTGTTCTTTATCATCTGTCTGGATTTTCAAAAATTGGACGGGCAGGGCTCCTTTTTTTGATGGTGTCCTTTTAGAAGACTGAATGTGCAAATACTGGTTTCAGTTCTACTCCTTTAGCTCCCTCTCGGGGTTATAGCACGGCATAGCACATCAAAGGAACAGTAAGCCTTGGGGCTCTTCCAGGCAATCAGTTTTTCATATAAGAATTGCTTGGTTTGCAATTCATTCGTTGTGAGGACCCAGACATACAATGTTGTGTTGTTGGGGAAATGGACTTTCCTCCGTAGCCAGATACTTTGACTGTGGGTCAGATCAACATAATGGAAAACATTGTTTCTTGCTGTGTGAACAAGTTTTCCTGTGTGAACAAGCTATCCCATTCTCCCAGCTTTGTGGCATGCAAAACAGGAGCTGATGAGAAGCATACATTTCCACTTTTAAACAAGCTAGAGTGCCCTGTAATGTTTGAATGTCAGGGACTGTGGTTTGTTTAATTAAATTTGAGTAGGTGTGATAGTGAACATTGACCCACTGACACCCAATGAACATGCACATTGTGGCAATTTCCACTCCTGGTTTCTGTTCCTGACAGAATTCTCCAGAATCCCTAGCTACAGGTTAGCCCATTGTCCACACTGACTGGCAGCAGCTGTCCAGGATTTCAGTCTGAGGTATCCCCCAATACTACCTGAAGATGCCAGAGATTTAACATCGCACCTTCTGCACACAAAGCAGAAGCTCTCTCACTGAGCTGCAGCCCTTTTTCTCACTGGGGGCGTTCATATTTCAAACTCTCCCTTCACTAAGGCAGATGGAAAAGTTCCATTTGGGAAATGTTTTCAGCACTTGGGGAAAAGTGCTGTGTAAATATTCAGTGAATGGAAAGGGTTGCCCTACTTAGCCAACTGCAGTTTACATCCTAGTAACATCATGCTACATTGCGCATGAACAAATTCCCCACATGTCTGTATATTTACAACGTAAACCTGGCCCATCAGAGGCATGCAGGGACGGCTTCTGTAAATCCCTGGAAAATAGGGGCACTTGGAGGGTCTGACATTGTATTTCCCAAGAGCCCACCGCACTGCAAGATACAGTTGCCACACAAATCACCTTTAGGCTATTCAGTAGCGGAGCACATTTCACAAAAAGCTCCCCCTCTTCCCCCCATTCCCAATGACTTTTGTGCCTCCTCCCCTCTTCATTCTTTGCCATCTCTGTGTTTATCTAACATGCCTCGACCGTATGGCGAAGTCTGTAAAGCCCTGAGTCACTCGCAGCCTTACACAAAAAGGCATTTACTGCCAAATGTACTGTTTAAAAGCTCTTTAAACTCCAGGCCCAAATCTGCGTGTACTTCACGCTGGGAGGCGTCGCAGGGCCTGGGCCTGAGGACAATGGCGCACTGTTTCTGGGAAAAGTGCAGACCATGAGAGAGAGAGGCTTGAGCTGGCTGCGCCGGCCGCCTCTCCCAGCGTGATTTACACTCTCTGTTTCAATGTGTCCATGTGCTCCCTGCAGGCCCGTCATCCATCTTGCCTGAGAAAACAGCCTTGGCCATCTGGGGCTGTAAAACTCTCGCATGCCCCCCGCTCACCATGTCAACAGGCTTTTCTTTTCTCTCCTCGCAGGCAGCGGGGCAGAGTGTAGGCCCGGCAGCTGAGTTACAGCCTGAAGACTGAATAGGACGCACAGCTTGTGCTGTTCTTGGGCTAATCCTCTTCTCCGTCAGCAGAATGTCACTCGGAAACCATCAGTTTGAGGCAGCTGGAGCTCGGCTCCGAAGTCTGCTTTTAAAAACCTTGGCCCAGAAAGCGCAGAAGCGCACGCTTCAGAAGATGCCAAAAGGAAGTGGGCCCTCAGACAGTGGTTGGACAGTGTCATTCTGAGGGCGACAGTCTTGCCTCTTGGCTAGAATCAGTGGCATTCTGAAAAACTGGATTCTGCACCTTTTAATCCTATGTCACTTTCCCCCGTACTTAGTTGCTCAATTTCTAACCAGGGATGCTATTATTATTATTATTATTATTATTATTAGTCCTATTCCTGTGCCTAACAGCAGCCTGATAAAAAATAATTGTTGGTGGTGGTGTAGAGGTAGCAACATTTAAAAAATAGATGTGTTTTGTTTATAAATATCAGGATTTTGTCCTCAAGATCTTAAGATATTCTCACTTAAAGGTGAAAAGTTACAAAGAATTCCAATAGTAACAGGGCTGAATTTGTGTCAAGAGATGTATTCCCTCAGGAGTAATTGCTTGGGGGCCACATACCAAGGATTGGGAGGGCCAAAGTCTTCTTTCTCTGCCCAACATCCCATTTGACATTTAGAAGACATATGAAGGCAGCCCTGTTCAGGGAAATTTTTAATGTGTGACATTTTAATGTATTTTTCATCTTTGTTGGAAGCTGCCCAGAGTGGCTGGGAAAACCCAGCCAGATGGGCGGGGTACAAACAATAAATTATTATTATTATTATTATTATTATTATTATTATTATTATTATTTGCTTTCATAGTGCATGAGGACAGAAGCCCTTCCACAGCTGCCATTCCGATGAACTGTGCCCCTTCCCCACAGTGTGACAATTTTTTTAGAATTAAAAATAAACCTCTCATTGGCAAAAACGAGAAGTGTTTTTCCTCTAAGCCCAACTGACATGCGAGTGAGGGCAGGAGGAGAGGCCAGTCCTGGCTGGAGATGCAAGGAACTGAACATTTTCCTATAAAATGTTTTGCTTTTATGCCTGAGGCCTAGATGATCACATGATTTGACAGATTTATCTTAAGTCAATTGATATTGCAGTGGGCCCAGTCAACATTTCCACTTTCCAGTGTTGTAGAATGAATTATGAGAGTTGTATTGAGTTTTGATGGGTGTCGGGGACAGAACAGGTTCACACATCCTTACTCAGCCATGAAGCTCACTGGTTAGGCTTGGGCAAGTCATCATCTCTCCTCTTGACTCACATGCCGCGGTTGTTCTGAGGGTAACTCTGTGTACCACACCATGAGTTCTTCAGAGGAAGGGTGCAATACAAAAATGGTCAGTAAAAGCTATAAAGGTAAAGGACCCCTGGACAGTTAAGTCCAGTCAAAGGCAACTATGGGGTGCAATGCTCATCTCGCTTTTCAGGCCAAGGGCACCAGTTTTCAATTTCATTGTTCTGTATGGGACAATGACAATAAAGATATCGTATCGTATCGTATCGTATCGTATCGTATCATCGTATCGTATCGTATCTTTTGTCCACAGACAGTTTTCTGGGTCATGTGGCCAGCATGACTAAACCGCTACTGGCGCAATGGAACACCATGACAGAAGCCAGAGTGCATGGAAACTCCATTTACCTTCCCGCCACAGCAGTACCTATTTATCTACTTGTACTGGTGTGCTTTTGAACTGCTAGGTTTGCAGGAGCTGGGACAGAGCAACAGGAGTTCACCCCATCGTGCGGATTCGAACTGCTGACCTTCCAATCAGCAAGCCCAAGAAGCTCAGTGGTTTAGATCTCAGCATCACTCACTGTCATCAGTACAAATAAACTTTAGGATATGATTCCTCTTGGTTTACCTAAGGAGGGCACGGACAGTGCCATGACGACATCCTAGGGAAGGGCAAAGATGGGACTGTTTCCCAGAACCATTTCAAGGGACTCACCTGCTTCACTGGCTACTGAAATGTGCACTTGGTATAAGACTCAGAGTCAGAGCAGACAGAGTGGTTTGGGAGCTGTAGCTGCAGCACTGAAGGTGCGGTACAATGAATTTCAGAAACTGGCACCTAAAGATCTTGCTTGAGTCCTGCTAGTACAGTTACTGCATGCTATCTCAAGATGTCACAGCTGAGGAAGCATCACTGAACAACTAACAAAGCATGGGCGGTCCAGGATGAATACACCACGAATGCACTATTATTGCATCAATGACATGCTGCAGATGACACTTGCAAAAAAAATCAGTTTGGACGGGCCTTAGGAAACTGCCTTAAGTTATACCAAGTCAGAACACTGGCCCAACTAGCTCAGTACTGTCATCTCTGATGGGCAATAGTTCTCTAGCATGCCAGGAAAGAGTTTTTCCCAACTGCACTGGAAGAGAGACCCCAGAGATGGACTGAGGGAGCGTTTGCATACTATAGCCTTTCCATCACCCCTTCTTTTTTCAGTCTGCTGCAGTAAGCAAGATTTCCATGTTCGCCCCACAAGACATCAGAGAGGTAACTGCATAAGTGGATTGTTGCAGCACTGGAGCAGAAAGCAAGTTTCCAAATAATTTCCAGCTTTCCCAAAGCTGTTAAAGCAGCAGCAGCAGCACCTCTGCATCAGGAGCTAGCAGCCTTGGCAACATGTACTAACACTGGGGCTGGGGGACGGGACTGAGTCCAAGCAGAGAACTGGAACCAAAGGGAGCCATTTGGGAAAATACTCACCCTGCCTTTGTTGTCCATTGTAATAGCAATCTGCATCCTTCTTCCCCTGCGGAAAGCAACCAACTGATCAATCTCTTCTTCACTGATGTCTGGGGCTTCCCCTGGGCTCACAAGACACTCTGATCCCCGTTTTTCACTCACAACCCGCTTTCCCTAGAAAAGGCAGAATCAGAATATGCTGTTTCTTGCCCTGTACAGTATGTATAGAAAGGTGCATATTTAGAGTAAGTATGCCTATTTGGTGATGAAAAAAACAAGTATAATAAATAGCAAATTCCATTCATTGATAGCTACCAGTTGTAATCAATCTAATTCCGAAAAGAAATATTTCAGCCAGAAATTCAATACAATGAACCTTTTTGGATAATGTATAAGATGTGTTAGCATTGTAATTTTGTTGCACTAATCAAGACTGAAGTAACAAGTGTTCTCTTAATTTTTTGTCAGCATTTAGGAGGGCTGTGTAAAGATCAGCTAACTCCCTTCGGGGTTGATGAATTTTCTTAGCTTCCGAGCCAAAAAATTCTCATCATGGGAATTGTTTTCCTGGATGAAAACCAAGACGACTAAGCAAAATATAGCAGAGCTGATATAACTTTTATTCCATGTAATTGAAAATATCACTATGTTTTGAGGGTAGCACACAGATTACTTAGAACGCATAGACTCAGAGTAACAGAGTCAACTAATGATGTCAAAGACTTCTGCTAGCACAACAGGGCTTTCTGCCCCCTCCTCCCTCATGCACCCCAAAATTGGCTCAAGAGGAGTTGGGGGAACCCCCAGAACAGTATGCCAGGGCAGGAAAGGAGAATCATTCCACCCGGCCCACTTTGCAGTAATTTATGAAAATGAATGAGAGAAATGACTGAAACACATTTTCATACCAAAATATACCACATGCAACATTAATAACAGGATTCGAACTGCAAGAAAAAATCTGACTAAACACGAAGGGTGGAATCCAATGTAGTGCTAAGGTTTTTTTTTTAAGAATTTATGCTTGTGCAACAGAATGTTTTCCCCATTTCCTCTCCCATACACCCCCTTAATCTGTTCTAGGAGTTTCCCCAAAGTTCTGGAACAGATTTCAGGTGGATAGTGGAAAGGGGCGGGGGGAGTCCTGTTGTACGAGCAGAAATTCTTACACTGATGGGACTTGTTAGTAAAATACTGCCCCAAACCCTCATTGCTTCTGGCATCTTCAACCTGTATTAGCACTCATGGAAATATCCTTTTTAGAAATGCCTAAGAACAGAAAAGACTTGCATTTCAAGCTTTCATACTGCTGGGCAGGGCTATTTTTCTAGAAAAAGAGGTGCTGGAACTAACCATGAACACCTCCCTCATTCTCTTATAATGGCGATGGAGCCCACCTTAGAGGTGCCAGAACTGAGTTCTGGTGAGTTCTGGCTGGGGGAAAAAAGCCCTGCTACTGGGGCTTCAAAGCACCAACCCCTTCTATGTCCTGTCTTTGAGATCTTGATTCTGACAGCATGTAGTTGAATCCAAACATGTTGCTCAAGTCAAGGATCTGCCATTGCCTTCTTTAATGTTATTGTAAGAGATTCATATTACACTCTGCTTGTATGTCAACACAGCCTAATGTGATGTGTTGTTTTGACTGCCACTGCGAACGAAACAGATGTCGTCACCGAGCTGTCCCCAAAGATGTCTAGAGAGCTTTTTGAAGCGGTGGAAATGAATTTACAATCCTATCAGGCAGTAAAAGACTGAAGGGTCACTTACAATCTGAGAGCAAGCTGCTTTTTTCGACTGCTGGAGATTTACTATTTGTGACAATGATTCCCAATTGACTAAAGCCTATATGTTGTATAGGAGGAACATTCTCACAAAGCTTACCACCCAAATGCTGACTTACTCAGCAAGCAATAATATGGACTTCATTAAAAGTTTGATTAGTCCTGAATAAGTATCCTCTGTGGATTGTAAATACATTTGCTCGCAGATGAAGCTCACTGGGTGGCCTTGCTGGACTGGAATGTTGGGGAACCAGATTCAAAACCTGCCCTACCATGACTCTTATTGGGTGGCCTTGTGGATCATGCTGGGTTGGGATATTAGTGAACCAAATTCTAACCCTGCTTGCACATGAAGTTTATTGGATTTTGGGGGCTAACTAACAATGTGGGATCCACCTTTTTGCTGAATGTATGTTGCTTTGTTTAAACTAGGATGCTTTTACTTGTACAGTGGTGCCTCGCAAGACGAAATTAATCCGTTCCGCGAGTCTCTTCGTCTTGCGGTTTTTTCGTCTTGCGAAGCACGGCTATTAGCGGCTTAGCAGCTTAGCAGCTATTAACGGCTTAGCGGCTTAGCGGCTATTAACAGCTTAGCGGCTTAGCGGCTATTAACGGCCTTAGCGGCTATTAACAGCTTAGCGGCTTAGCGGCTATTAACGGCTTAGCGGCTTTAAGAAAAAGGAAACAAACTCACAAGAACTCGCAAGACGTTTCGTCTTGCGAAGCAAGCCCATAGGGAAATTCGTCTTGTGGAACGACTCAAAAAACGGAAAACCCTTTCGTCTAGCGAGTTTTTTGTCTTGCGAGGCATTCGTCTTGCGGGGCACCACTGTACTTCATCATTGCAACCTGAATTTGCTGGCATCTCTAGAGATTCAGCACTTTTAAAAAACGGGCTGGGGACTCACCTTGGCTTTATTGTCCATGGTCACAGCCAACTGAACCCTCTTCCCCATCCTGAATGTAAACAAGTGATCAGATTCCTCGTCATCTTCCTCCTCCTCACTTCCAATCCCAAAACTGGAGGCAGGAGGGCCGCTGCTTCCCCATTTCTCACTCACAACTCTTTTCTCCTGCCAATAGGACAAACACTTAGTTAGAAAATGGCCGGGATGTTGCCATATTAACCTCCTCCCTTTCTCTTTTGCCTTAACAGCTGGGGAGAAGAAGCTATGAAAATGTCAGGAGGGCTCTATGACCTCACACTTTTTGCCAGTGATACAAATACTGAGAAATTCTTTCCAAAGAAATAGCTGGTCCTTTTGTCCAATTTGCCAGGCAACCTATAAATCTGGCGAGGGGGGAAAGCATCTCTTCACTTATGAATCTGACATTTGGCTGAAATGTCAAAGGTTTAGGAAAACAGTAGAGTCATCATGGTGTGGATCTTTATTCATGAGAAATAGATGATGCAATAGTGTGTGATGGACTCACTCCAGTCTTTCATAGTCAATTCCCTTCTCTTATTATTTTTAAACCATAGTTCACTGAGGTGTTTAAATTTACTCCTCATTGGAGAGCCACCCCCAAACACATGTTCTTGCACATATTACTGTTACATTTAGGAACCTGTAAATCATTTAGAGAGCTGATAGAGCCTGAAGCCTGATGGTCTCTATATTTATTACATATTGATTTCATAATCCCTCACAGCTAAGACCTCTCTAACCTTGCAAGAATGGAAAGTATAAAAATCCTTCCTTAGCAGGAAGGGGAGATAATGCTTACATTATGGGCTTTGGTGATGGTGATGGTGAGGCCGTCTGGCCTGGCTTTCCTCGACATGACAGCCATTCCCTCCTGCTCTGCTCGCTTCCTGTCCTCTTCTATTTCCTGCAAAGATGACAGCCAGCTCCTCTATCAGATGAGCTTACAGCAAGCGGAAAGCTAGAAACAAAGCAATCTCAAACAAAGGGAGAAACATAGGGAAGCTATGAGAAACTGTATGTTCATCAGCACACATTTGCCGCTGCCACTATATTTGACAATAGCAACATCCAGGTGATGACTATATTTACCAAGGCTTTACTGAGACATGTGATTTCTTCTTCTTCAGAGAGTTGAAGATAGTTTTAAAGACCACCTCTCTCCATATGAACCTACCTGGACCCCCAAGATCATCCTCTGAGGCCTTTCTTTATGTGCCTCCTCCATGAGAGGTCTGGAGGGGGGGCAACATAGGAACGGGCCTTTTCTGCAGTGGATCCTTGTTTGTGGAATACTCTCCTCAGTGAGGTTCAGCTGGCGCCTTCATTAGTCGCCAGGAGAAAACATTCCTCTTTAACCAGAACTTTGGCTGATTGACATCTAATGCCCTTTCAAAATGTGTTGTGGAAGGAGGAGATTATTGTGTTGTCTTTGTCTTTGTTTTTATTATGCATTTTGTGTTTCTCATATTGTAATTTAATGATTTTATGTTGTGAACCGCCCTGAGATCTATGGGAATAATAATAATAATAATAATAATAATAATAATAATAATAATAATAATAATTTGATATGGTATGTAGACACTACTTTCACCTCTGGTAAACAGGTTTCATGGGTTTTATATACTGGCATCATTTGATTAACCAAGGGGCCTCAAAAGAAAGAAGTGAACACCATGGGAAGCAATGCATCTCTAAAATAGCCTCCACTCTAGCAAAGACTATTGCCTGTCTCCAGTCTGATTTTCAGTCTCTTAAATCCTGCATGCCCAAACACAGTCTCAATACATTGATTCAGGGTAGACTGCTATTGCACACTTCCTGAATGAAATATAGAGCTGGTATCAGCATACTGATGACAACACACTCTAAAGCTCAGGTTAATCTGACCCAGAAATGTCAATGGATGGTAAACTATGCAGTATTCTGACTCCTATGGGGCACCTTAATGGCCCTTCCACACTTGGTTTGTCCTGCAAATTCTAGTCATGGGTCCAAGAGGGGTTTTCTTTGTCCTGCCCCCACTTTTCCCAGGAAAACCTAATGTTTACTGCTATTCAGAACAAGTACCAATCCACAGAAAACCCAATTGACATTCAGCAGTGAACAGCTGGTTTTCTCTGGTAAAGTGGAGGAACAAAAAAAGTATAGGACTCATGACTAGCAATCGTGAGACAAAGTATGAATAGGCCTCAAGTCTATGTAACTGAGGAGGCATCTTGCAGCAGTGCCCAAGCAGAAGTTATCTGGCCATAGGCTTTTTTCCCCATTCCCCTACATGATTGCTGTTCCTTAGGTTTCTTGGTTTAGGCTCCTTAAAATTCTGGCAGCCTGATTTGTTATGCAGAATAATCATTTTGAAATTCCAGTCCTGGTGGGAGTAAATGCTGATTTCTATGTCACCTACTTCAAGTTACTTCAGCCACATCGAGTTACTGGTGTCAGCTGAACAAAGAATGCAACAAACTGAATTTTTCAAGAGTTATTAGCATATAGGGCTTCAAAGGTTCACCAAGGAGGCCCCAAATCTGAGCTAAGAAGTCAAACATACATGATATCTTCGCATAAGGGCTTCGTTCTTTTTCCGCAAAGCTATGATTTTCTTATCCAGTTCGACATCTTTTTGTTCTTTTTTCCGCAACACTGCATCATCCACAGTGGCATCCTAATGAAACAAAAGAGCTTTAGGGGATTTCCACATATGGTCAGTAAAACAGATAACAGATACACATATGGTTAATAGTACAGATTTTACTTTTTTACATTTATATTCCACTATTCTTCCATCATGGGACCCATTTGGTCTTAGTTTCAGCAAGGTGGTAGCCTTGTTATTTATTGAAATTCATATCTAGCTATTCCTCCCAAAGAAGGAATTTTGGCCATACCATGGGATCTCTTTGTCTCCTCTCTTTCAACCAAGAAAAAGGTGGAAGACAAAGGTCTTCATCACCCACAGCAATCGAACACTTAGCACTATGTTTTAAAGTCACAGAAGATGGGTACCCAGTATCCTATTTTGAATAAACATAGCCAGATAGTATTTTAACTTAAAATTGTAATGAAAAAATAAAATTGCAATGAAAAAATATAAATTTGGATAAGTATGTGGCCTACTATATGCAATCGTATATTTATACTGTAATATTGACACTGACAAACGTGTGTGTGTGTGTGTTCTGCTAAGATCTGTAGGCCAAAGCAGAGATTTCATGCAAGATATAAGGCATGCTACAATAAGGGTAGTTTACTGAAGCATTAACAAGATCAAAATCCAAATATATCCACCAGAAAGAGCAGCGCTTCTAAATGAAGGGAGGATCAACAGCAGAGCCAGCTGCAAGTTTGAGGAAATCCTGAGTAAATACTTCTAGTGGCCCCCTCCTCCATCAGTCAACCACTTCCTCTGTTGGTGAGCCCTGGCACTGTTGGGGTGGGCAGGTAGGCAAAAGCAACACTGCACAGCATTGGCTGGTTGACTCCAGCTGCCACTGAAATTTGCCACAATGCCCTGGGACAATAATATGCAAGGTTACTGATGCTGGCTCTGATCAAAAGCATCTAAGCATCTTGGTGGCCATTCCTGGAAAGAAGATGACAAACTCAATGGGCCCTTAGTATGACCCAGCAGACCTCTTCTTAAGAAGAAATACTGGGTTTTTAAGGCAAAATTTTATTTCCTTGCAGAAGGAATCAGTGAAATATGGACAAAAGAAGAATCTGTATTAAGCAGGTGGTGTGGCTTTTCAAGCACTATTTTTCTCTGCAAAATGGGTTGAGGGTTAGAGCAGTAATAGCTGGTATCTGTGAGCTTGTGTATATTTTGGCACTCAATCGAAAACATTTCCCCTCCCCAAATATTTTCCAGCCCCCCAAAAAGTCCATGGTAAAACAAAATTTCCTAAGTTACAAATTCAATTTAGGTGTTAAATATCAAGTCTGAAGTTAGTGTTCACATTTTGACAGGGCTATCTGACCCTAGGTATCCTCCTGTGAATATCAAGTTTTGTAATCTGGCCTGGCAGATTCTGAGCCAGATATATTGAGTGCAAATTTCTTCTGTTCTGCTCCTTCCCATCTCTCTTCAGGGGCTGAGCCAGCCTTCATTTTAGGGTGTAACACACAGGGATGGGTACGTATGCCAACACTGGTGTCTCTCAGTTTCTCATTTTTCCCATCCTGAAGGCCAGTTCTCCACGTTTCCACATCAGTTTGCATTTTTGTTTCATGAAAATTCACCAGCATATTTGTGTTAAGTTCTCCTATTCTTCACAGTTTTGTATGCAATTTTGAAAAGCAATCTCTGTTAATACAATGCATATTATGTTATCTCCCTTGATATATGCATTTTTGTACACATTATGTGGCTGAAGAACTGCATTGCAAAAATTGGAGACGTGCGAATTCTGACGGATGGTTGCGATTCAGTCGGCATATTGTATAAATTAGGTACATTTGCCTTTAAATGTGAACTGAACCTAATTTCTCCTCTATCCACCATCCCTAGTAACTCAGCCTTCTTGAACCTGGTCCTTTCCGGATACTTTGGACTACAATTCCCATCACCTCAGCCAGCAGGGTCAACTCTCATCTTTTAAAGCATAAGGACCATCTCCTGCTCCTTTTAGGAACTATGCAGTAGCAATTAAGGCATGCTGCACCTGTGGAACTAGAATTTTGCATAAACAGATGGTAGCACTTGTAATACCCTATAATTTTAGGAGCTGCTAAAACATCAGCTTACTGTCTAGCCATGAGATCCCTCAATACCTACATTCAATTTGTTTTTAATGCACTAAGGGTTTCATGGTGATGACTACCTAACTCCGCCAACAACTGTGATGTCACGGGCTGTTCATAAAGCCAACTGATTTCGGGAAATGACTGATGAATAAATGAACCGGGGTCAAACATGGAGCCTAAAGACAAGTCTAGCTACATCTTTCGGCCAGGAGGGGATGGCGGGAGGGACAAGACTGCTGAGCAGGCACAAAGGATGCTATGGCAAGTCCTGGTAGATGAAGAAAATAAGAGAGAGCAGTGGGTTCAGCTGAAGAAAGGAGGTGCTAAGAAAGAACTGGGTTTGTGGAGAACCTGAATGCAGGGCTGACAGACAGGAGAGGCTATGCGCTCTTGACAACAAGGGAGTAGGCCTTGAAAAGACCATGGGCCTGTGAAAGAAGAGCGCATAGGATTGCCAGGCCTTCATTCTGAGAGTGTTCCCGTACCCTTAGGGACATTAGGTCTGTCTTCTTCCATAGTTTGAAGCGCTGTAGTTTGGCAACCATGAGAAGTCTGTAGTGTAGCCTCCTCCAACCTGGTGTGCTCCATATTTCGCACCACAATTCCTATCAGATCCAGCAATTAAGGGCAAATGTCAGGGATCTTCACAGCTCTAGTTCAAAGCATCTAGGGCAGCGGTGCCCAAATTGTGGTCTATGTATCACCAGTGGTCCCCAGGCTTCATTCAGGTGAAAATTCATGAAGTGAATTTATGGTTGAAAATAGAAGATGGCACAACCATCACATTGAATATTCATAATGATTTTTATTGTATTTTTTGCTTCTTTTTTTGGCTTATATTTTATTTTATTGTATCACGATTTGAATTCTATGGAATTACAATTGCTGCAACAGGTAGGAAAAGCATTGCGTGGTCTTCCAAGACCCTCAACCATTTTCAAATGATCTGCGGAGGGGGGAAAGTTTGGGAACCACTCATTCAGAGAGCAGAAGTTTGGAAAAGGCATCTTTAGGGTAAGCAAACTTTGGGATAAGGGCCAAATTTCACGTCAATCCCTTATTTAATTACAGGCCTAGCTTCTAATAATACAGCAACAGACTTTTATAATGAAACTGGATGAATGGATGCTGACTCAGTTTAAGCCTAAGATGCAAATTTTCCTTATGAGAAATATCCCCACCACCACCACCCCGAGGTGAGGAAAATAGTGGGTTCTTTTATCATCATCAAATGTCTTGGCAAAGAGAGTGGGTGCGTAGCTTTGGAAATTCAGTCGAGAGAGGCAGGGATGTTACACTTTTGCAAAACTGTTTAAATTAGATTTGGATCCAACCTGGCCAGAATTTTCGGGGTTCCTAATGACTGGTATGTCACCTTTGTGTGGGCAAGTAAGTTCCATACATAATCAGGGGGGGAGCTAGGGGCTATGGAGGCAGAATGGAATCATACAGGGCTGCCATTTTGGCACCTGAGGCGGACTCCAAAATGGCAACCAGGGAAGAAGCAGGGAGGTCTATATCAGGATTAAGGGGGGGGTCAACATCGGGATCTGCTGCCCTGGTGGATCCTGCCGCCTGAGGCAGTCACCTCACGTTGCCTCATGGGTGGGCCAGCCCTGGAATCAGTGCAATGTGGATTCTGAAATACACTCCTTTAATTTTGTGTGTTACAAAAATGTGCAGTGACCAAGCCACATTCCATAGAATCCTTTGCTAAACTGGGCAGAGGTTGGTTATTCAAGTCATTTTAAAAGTCATATAGTAGCAACATATGCTAGGAATGTAATAAGTTGAGTCAAACCATTATCTCCAGTGCAGGAGGGGGGCTTTTTCAGCCCAAGGGTCTTATTCCCTCATGGGCAATCTTCCAAGAGCCACATTGGGATAAAAACCAGGTAGACATAATACAGCATGTATAATAATAATAAATGAGGACCATATCTCGTACTCCCCACCCCCGACAAGAATTCTGGGCGCTGTAGTTTGTAAAGAGTGCTGAGATTTGTTAGGAGACCCCTATTTCCCTTCACAGAATTACAATTCTCCGAGTTGTTTGTTGGTTGTTAAACCACTCTGAGAACTCCATCTCTGTGAAGGGAAAAAGGGGTCTCTTAACAAATCTCAACACCTTTAACAAACTACAGTTGCCAGGATTCTTTGAGGGAAGCAATGATTGTTTGAAGTGGTATGATACTGCTTTAAATGTATGGTGCGGGCAGGGCCAATGTTTTGCCCTTGCAATACACCTTTTAGTGAAAATATTAAGATACAACAATGCTCAAACTGGCAAAGAATGCAGGGCATCAAAGTCCAGTTTTTGAAGAGTCAGGTTATGCAGCTATTAGTAAAAAAATTAAAAGACGCCACTGTGCTGAAGCTACAAAGTAGGTCTGGATGACTGCCTGAGAATCTCATATATGTCACCTTAGTTTATCTACATGATTTGAAAGACTTTTCAAATGGGAAGAGTGGCTGGGGAAACCCAGCCAAATGGGCGGGGTATAAATAAATTATTATTAGTAGTAGTATTAGTATTAGTATTAGTATTTCTCTGATTGGTATAAGATTTCCCACCAGCCCCACTTTCATTTCCACGATTCAGCTATACAGCTGCAAATAAAATGTTTTTAAGTGTGTTGTAAAGTGTATTATACAAATGAGACACTAGATGGCGGTAGTGAGCTATGGCAAATTCAATATATTTTTCAAAACGTTTATTTAAAAAAAGCATTTTCACAAATTTTTATTATATGTGTCTAGATTCCACTCCAATGGGGATAACATTCATGGTGAAATGTGGCTGGGACTTAACATAACGCTTTGATTTTTGTGTGTGTATGTACGTTAACAAAACTTAAGTTTTATACCACTGTCTTGGTCACCAGAACACCTGGAATAGTGGATAGTAGTCAAATAAAACAAGCAAGAAAGTCTTAAGCAGAGGGAGCCAAAGTGGTGCCATCTGTATGTTGTAGGACCACAACTCCTATCATCACTGTTGGAGTGCAGGGTGAGGGTTTGCTGCAACATTTTGTTGCAGGCCACACTCACTGTTCTTTTTCGAATATCTCCAAGATTTGGGGCTGAAGAAGAGATTCCTTTCCTTGCACACACACGCGCGCGCGTGCGCACACACACACACACACACACACACATCAGTAGCACAGCAGCAACAAAAGCCTAGCTGAATGACCCCAAAACTGCAAAGCAGCACTTTGAGGCCTGACTGATGGCTGGCACACAGACTGATTCACTGGTGAAAATGGACCAACACGTTGCAGCGTGGTCAGCGATTTTCTTCCTGGCTGTTTGCTGCTGAGTTGCAGCCAGTCAGTAACGAGAGGGTATATTTCCGCTGCCAAGCTACTGGAAAGAATGTCGACTCTGCTGCCACTTTGGGATGGAAAGGGACGCCCCTTACGCCCTCTCTCCAGCATAAAAGCTCTTCTGGGGAGTGAGGTACCCGTATGCCACAGTGACTAGTTCGGGGGGAGTTATAAATGGTTTTAGCAGAAGAAACGTGCAGTGGCTGTGAATCAGAAGGCGTTTCTGCTCGCTTGGAAAACAGAGAGCCCAATGAGAGAGGAGAAGGGGAGGGAGAATCAGACATGCATGGATATCTTTCTCTATCAAAATGAAACAGAAAAGGAGGGGCTAAGTAAAGCAAGGGGGGGTAGGATAGTGAAGCTGCATGGAGGGTGGTGGCAGTGAGGGGGGGGGTGCTGGCATCGTATCCAACATTTCAAGTTCACCCACTCGCTGTCAGTTCTTGGTGGATGGGATTTTCTTGCAGATCTTGGCTCTGGCTACAGGATTCCACCCCCCACCTGCCACTTTCAAAGTCAGCTATTTATGATATGAAAGACTCAGAAAAGAAGCAGCGCTCAGGAGATAAAGAAAGCCTGGGGGATGGGGGAAGAGAGGGCCTCTCAACCCAGCATTTTGTCATCTTAGCCAATGCACTAGTGCTCTCGTAAACATGCCCGGCCTTTGTGCTGCTCGAGGCAGCACCAAGCTCCCGGTCTTTGGGATGGGAAGTGTCCATCATTACCCAACATTCTGTGGTGTTGTTGTTGTTGTTTTAAATTCTCCTTCCCCTCCTTTGTGGCGGCGGGGAGGTGGAGGGAGGGAAGCTGATCTCCTCCTGAAGGATGTTCACATCCTAACCTGGTCACATCCTAACCTACTGTACAAAAAAAAAAGCACCTTTCTGCCCTCCCACATCTCTCAGATACACATCTGCTGGCCGAAAGCGAAGCACCCCAAAATGACAACACAATGCAAAAGGGGAAAGGCAAGAAGAAGAAGAAGTCATTTCTTGGCTTTGCTGAATGCAAGGCTGACTCCCCCACATCCCTCCCACTTACAACAAAGGCGGCACTCACAGATCGGTGCATTTTGGACATCAGAGGTGAAGCTTGGCGGATTCCACAGCAGAGCTAAAAGAGGAGAGCCATCAGACGGCCTTTCTCAGTACTGGCTGCACAGCATACAAGATCATGTTTTGATTACAAAAGCCCTGTCTGGGCTCCCAGCCAAAAGCACTGGCTGCCTAATATACGAAAGCAGAGGCAAGCAATCAGAGCGCTGGTCTGTCCTCCTCTCCACTCTTCGCTCGCCTTGCAGGGGGAACGTACCTCTTGCTACTCCCTGTGACTTCCGAGCACTCCTTGGTGCCACAACCCAACCCAACCCCAAAAGTACACATCTTGAGGGACACAGAAAGGGCAAATTTGCATCTCAACAGCTGGACTTCATGTGCAGCTGTTTGTGGGGTTTGTTCATATATAGCAGTGTGGGCAAAGGTTTTATAACTATAGAATCGTACTGGGCCAATCAACATAGCTGTCAACTTTCAGATTTGAAAATAAGGGATCAGCAGCCTCGAAAATAAGGGATCAGCAGCCTCACCAGTCCCGGAGTCAGTCTATGGGATATCTAACCATCTGGGATAGCTGTGGGAAGCAGTGGGAAACGGCCCTGGAATGAGGGAATTTCCCGCAAAAAAAGGGAAGGTTGACAGCTATGCCAATCAATCCTCCCCATCCTATATTTAAAGCAGTGGTTCTTCTGTGGTCAAGGAATCACTGCTGGTTCCAGGGACATATTCCTATTTGATCATAAATAAATAAAATGGGAAGATGCTGGAAAGACAAAGACCTTTGTTGTTTCTACCACATAGCGGAAGAGGCATCCTGCTTCTCAGTTTTTCTTAAACTACTCTGAAAAGCAGCTTGCCTCTTCTGCAGTGCAAGCAGCTTCACTGGAAAGAAACTTCGCAGAAACTCCAGGTGTGTGCACAATTCTCCCCTGTGCATGAGTTCATTGGGTCCTGGCCACATTGCCTGCAGACAAATGCAGATATTGAGGGTTAATGCAGAATTCTCCCATGTACCCTTCCATATGATAGCATTAGGGTAAGAAAAAAATAGGCAATCTGCAAAGCTATTCCTAAGATCTAATTAAATGATTACAACCATTTATTTTGTCCTTTTCTGAAGGGATTGGGGGTTAAAAAAGAAAATTGTTCCCCGCAGATGAGGTTGCAACTGCGTCAGCAATCGCCTTCTTGAACTTTGTTGCCCAAACTGAACACATGACGCCAGACGATCTTACCAGCTCCACAGCTACTACTACTCAGCTTTTGCAAATAAAAGATATCCTGAGGAGAAGACATCAACAACTGGTAGATATGTCACCTGTATTCCCTGCCAATTATTTTCTACCACATGCTTGTAAATCTATGGATTGTTTTGTTCTAAGGTCTTCTAAGATCTGCTAGACTCACCCAAACAGGTCTGCAGTTCCTTCTTCCATTGGCTTATGCATTGGTTTCTGCCATTTCTTCTTGATTTCTCGTGTGTGTGTGTGTGTGTGTGACAATCATCAGGCTCTGCTGACTTGAATTCATGCAGATTGACCCAAATAGTCTTTGACATGCTCGTTTGTTACCCTAGATGGGACCTGCCTCCTTTGATACGGTCACCACCACTAAATTCCTCATTACAGCTTTCCTTCTTTGTCAAAGCAGACGCTGCGTAGTTCAGTTTTTCTGAAAAGGAAACCATCTGTCAAGGTCTTCCCTTCAAAGTTGGAACAGTGGACGCAGTGTATCATTTCTCTCCTTATCCAGTTGTAAAACTCACGCTTGTTCCACTTATTTTATGACTTATTTCCCCTTCACATTCATTCTGCATCAGGGCTGGCCCAAGACATTTCGGCTCCTCAGGTGAACCACAAAATGGTGCCCCCCTCCAGTCAGGGAAGAAGGGTGAGTGAAGGTCTAGATAGGGAACAAGGGGAAGGAATCAAATCAGCCTTACCCAATGGTTGAAGTGGGAATCAAAGGTGGCCAGGCGGGTGGGGGAGGCCCAACTCTGAGTTGCGCCAGGTGGGTGCCCAGTGCAGGAGACCCCGAAGGAGGAGACCCTGAGGGGGGGGGAGCAGCAGTGCCTCCTATTTGCCAAGAGAAAGCGGCAGATCCAGCTTCTAAGGAGCATGCCACAGCCATGACTGCCACTGCAGCAGCAGCAGGAATAGGTAATACAGCCTTGGAGGCCAGATCTATGCCCCTATGGATCCTTCCACCTGAGGCAGTTACCTCGCCTTGTCTCATGATAGGGACAGCCCTGTTCTCCATCAATAAGCCAAGGATCAAACTGGAAGCTGGCTGGCAAACTATAATTTGAGACACAGCTCTGTAGATTATTGAACATTGCTATGACAGAATACTAGCTGTACCTGGAAAAGTTTTGGGGCTGTCATATTGCTTCATTTGCATTCAGTGCATTTCCTGTAGCATCCTCCTAAAATCCTATACCTGCTCATACCCCAAACTGTATATTTTTTGTAGCGGAGGGGGCAATTGTTTCATTTTAGTTGTGCTATTTCCCCTCCAGATGTCAATAACATTGGGGAAGCACAACAACTAATTAATAAAGCAGAATAAATCCACCACAAAGGCACCACTATTGTGTCAAGAACATGTTGCAGAATACTCCTGCAATAAAACTCCAAAAAAAAAAGTACACTTATTTTGGTTTCTTCTCAGTTTTTCATTTGATTTTAAGTCCATTTAAAGTCCATTAAAAAGATCCTGTTACAGGCACTATAATAGTTTTTTAAAAAACACCCACATATAACCAACCCATGCACCATGACAAATCTATGATGGGAACCGACATTTTGGTTTTCAGCTCTTGTTATTGAGAGCAAGCTTCAGAAGCGCTGAGCTAATGATGGGAAATTCTTACAACTTCTCCACTTGTATATTGGCAGAAGCAGGTGCATGGATTCAGCTAGTTGGTTCTCCAATCCAGTAAGGACTATATTCTGGGCTTGTGTTACAGGCAGTTCAGTGCGTGCATTTGGAAGAATACGCCTCTTCCCCTTTTGCGCCGAGATTCGAAAGAATAGTTCAGTTTGTTGTCCCCAAATGTATCTCCACGTCTGAGACATTATTATTTTTTACTCTTTCACTATCCCCCACCACTCCTCTTTCACGGACCAGGTTGCAAGAGACAGCTCTCACGTTTGTGATGGCGATGTTTCACCATTCGTATTTCACATTAGTTTCATATTTGCCCAAATTCATATATTTTTTTTAACTTTTGAGCTTTCATTCTAGGAATACAGATGCTGGAAAGCAATCTCCAAAATGCAGCACACAAAGAGCACATTTCTAGCCTTGCACACACAGAGATATCGTACACTCTGTTTGCACCAATATCATTGGCAGGCTGTGGTGCTGTTCCTAAGAGAAACTCCACCATCTACCTCCCCCCCCGCCATTTCCTTCAGTTCCATTTCATGGCTTCCTCTGACAATTTGTAATTGATTTTTTGTTGTTATTTCCATTAGATGGTTTTATTAGTTATTTGTAGGTAGTATCACTCACTAGAACTCACTGCATTTTATTTACTTTGGTTTTTGAATTTTTGTGCTTCCTTGGAGGCAGCTCCAAAGCCAGGAGGTCACTGACCAATTGTCTGATTTTAAAATGTATTTCTTTTATAGTGAAGTAGTGGTTTGGGAGCTGCCAAAAAACAAAACAAAACAAAAACCCTCCTCTCTACTCTGCTTTCTCATCCACAGAAGAAAAATGCAGGACCCCCTGTGGGAATGCACTCAAGGGAGCCAAATTCAGTTCTAAAAATATGTTGTGATAAACATAGCAAGGGTCCTATACTGAATCAGGCCATTTGTCCTCATGCATGTTTGGAGACCTATGAGCACAAGCTGCTGATTATCCACAAAGACCTCTAGCTAGGCCTGAGTGTGTTAGCATAACTTTGGACAGTGTTTTTGTGGGGTGTGAAACACAGAGCTGTCAAATACAACATTCCTAGAGTGGACATAAAAAGGGGATGTCTGGACCAGCCCAGTCGGAACTTCCTGTTTCCTCCTGGGCTGGGACAAACTTCCTCTACATGTGACCAGAGGTGGGCGTGACCTCACCTGTGCAGGTAACAAAATAGCACAGGGGAGGCAGTCATCCTTCTCTCTCTGACTCCATTCTTTGAAGAAGCAACATCTCCTTAGCCTGAGATGCTTGCTCTCTTGACTTCCAGCCAAGAGAGGACAAAGGAACTATCTCCTTTATTACGTGTATATATTTTGTAACCTAAGTCTGCCTTCTGGGATCCAGCTGTGAACAGAATGTGAGTAAACTCTTTTATACAAGACTGTGTCGTGTCTATTCTTTTTTAGGAGGGAATAAAAGGGGAATTACGAGGAAACTTATTTTAGAGGCTTATGCAAGCCTGGCAAACCTATCCGCTGTGTAAGTTTTAAAAGGGGGATGTTACTCTGCTAAATTGTAGAACTTGTTAACACAAGTTGGGAAGGATATAATTAAACAATATATCCGCCCCTGCCTCCCTGAACATTCCCACAGTTTTCATTAGACGGAGACTGAAATCTGATGCACACTTTTCTGAGAGTAATCTCCATTGAATCCAGTAGCACTCCTGAACAAATATGCAGAGGCAGTACATGAAATTTGGGGAGGCAGGGGTGCCATCTCACCCTCAGGATTATGGGTGCCGGCCACTGTAACACAGATGTGCAATGTCCGCATTGCAGTGGCCAGCAGTGGCTCCTCCTCCTCCTCTTTGCAGCCAGCAAGGCACCCTTTTCCACAGGGAGGGGCTCGGACTCAGAGACAAAGAGATTCTGCCTCCACGTCCAAGCCTCCCTCCCCGCCAAGGGTGCCTCGCTGCCTGGCTGCGGAGGGTGGAGCTGAACTGCTTCTCTCTCAGAGGCAGCTCTCCAGGCTTTTTTCATTGACTTTGTGGGTGCCCAGACACCCATGCCCCCCTGGAGCTGGCTCCTATGTAGAGAGGTTTCCCCACAGAAAATGCTACTGAAATGAAAGCTAGCGATACTGTACAATCACAAGTGACCAGACTAGTTTGGCTGGATACAGCAAGCAAATCATCACCACTGTCAACCAACCCAACACTTTGCATTGTTGCCCTTTGCTTCAAGCAGGAAAGGGGAGCGAAAGAGAAGGGCTGAGGTTCAAAGACTG